CACATTGCTTGCATGGGATTTGTTTGCAAAATGCTTAGGTGAACGTCGCCTCCAGCATCAAACTCCTAGTTGATGACTTGACTTATGGTCTACTCTCACGCGGCTAACTAGTCAGCCGTGGATCCATCGGGATAGAAGATACCTATCTAGATAGGTATATACATCACTGCAATTTCCAGGTAGCTAATAGTTTTATTCATCTGCACGTTGCCCAGGTTTGGTTGGTCAAGCGAATATCCACTCGAGACAGATAGTGACCACTAGTGGTGTAGATTTGTATAAAAACAATGATCAGATGTCTCAAAGTAGCAGTGATTACTAGAGTAAGCAGCGTAGAACGCGACTGACCTCTTGAATGCCCTATGTTCAAGATCACCATGACACTACCTAATCAACTTTCCAAAATCAGCAGTGTTGCTCTCTCTGCCCTCAGCTAAAGTAATATCCGAATAGCTTCACTGGGGCATCACAGGGCCTGCATCACCGATTGAATACTGAATGAAGCCCCAGAGTGGCAATACTCGCAGTAGCTCGAATAGGGTCCAAGATTAGACATCCAGAGTGCGCCTGCTTGGGAACATACCCTACTTGGAGCAGGCTGCATACACCAGAGACGTCCAAACCCAGTCAAGAAGACAGCTGCTTCAGCCGCCCGTTACCATGGAACCCGCTATGCCCGAACAATTGGAACCTGCAAGTAACAAAAAGAATGTGGTCGTACGCTTGAAAAGTCCACGAGTTGGGACTAGTAGGGGTTGGCGCACACTATGTAACTCTGACGTAGATGATCCTGAGCCGCGTTCGACCTCGCGTTCGAACTTCGATGAAAAGACCCTTAAAATGTGTTTTGTATCCCAAGCTCAAACTTCGACTATTCCCAACCTGAGAATTTACCAATACAATTTCCTCGAATCCGTCAAAAATGTCTGCCCTCCGCACCACTCTGCTCCGCTCATCATTGTCTCGCCGGCTTGCCTCGTCCGCCCCGCGAAGATCGTACGCCTCCCAAGGCGGACCAGAATACCCAACACCGAAAGCAGAAGGTTTCAAAGGAGTCCCGATGTGAGTGCTATGAAATATTGGATTGGCCAAAGCTACTGCTTGCTCTTCGACGTCAAAAGTGTGATCTCGCACAGTCAACTGATCTTATTTCACAGCGCCATAGGCATTGTCGCTGTCGTAGTTCCAGGAAGTCTTTACCTTTTGAACAGCAAACAGGAGCACATCCAGCACAACGACCACGAGGGCCAAAAGAGCATCCACGGAACATTGACCAAGGTCGAGAAGAGCAAGAAGCCGGGAGGCGGGAAACTACTAGGGGTTGACGATGTCGTGACAACCAAGCCTGAGGATGTCGACCATCACTTACCTGCGGATGCTCCGAACCACCCAGTCAACAGAGAGAAGGTGCGTGACGGATCAAAAATAACCCGCCCAAAGAGTTTTCGAGCCTTACTACTGTATGGACACTCACTGATTATATGTTTTTGGTTCCAGATGGAGACTGCGATGCGGCAGAAGCCCGCGTCGAAACGAGTTGACCCAATCAAGAGTGTCTGAGAATAGTGGCTAGCAAGAAGACCTTGGCAGACGCTCCCTCAATTCAACGTTGGATCCTTGTCTCTGATGCCTGGGCTTTCGGTTAATACGGACCAAGAGGTCATGGCTGAGAAGCAAAGACTGAAGGACTGCTGCTTGGCGAGGGCCATGATTCTGCCCGGCTGGCTAGATATCGGTTAAAAGCATTCCATTGTCGACCGACCCAAGTTGCCTAGAATCAGCCTTCGCCACAATACGAATGTACATCTTGCCACGGTTGCCGACCCGACTTCTTGCCGATATGTCCCTGTTGACCGCCCACCAACATGTTACAAATACGAAAAAAGAAATAGAGGTTTGCTGGTTAGACATGATGACAAAGTGTTGAGAGCGTCCTGTTGCTTTCCAAATGCCCAATAGCAATTTTGTTTCCCAACGCCTCCTTCCATTTAGCGCGGAATACCTCCAAGATAGCAAAGCCTGTCGCGGTACCCTGGATACCTTCGAACTCATCCATGATCCTCCTTGCACGGGTGTCAATAAGACATGTTCAACCTGGGGATCGTCATGGACACGGTGCTATGGTCCTTTGGCTTGTGATGTCTGGATTTGCATGTAATCGAAAAGAAAACCGGCGGCTTGAGAGGATGCTTGAGCCACAATGACCTACTCTCGATATCCTGAATTTGCCTCTTCTTCACTTCGACCCAATCGGATCTATAGCGTGAGTACATCGCGCCTTTCCAAGCGATGCTCCCACCCTCTTCCCCCAAAATCACTTTATGTAACCTCCTTGGTCTCTTGAAAAGGGCCAAAGCACGACAATGTGAGTATATCCACACCAACGACGAGGCCAATGTCCAACAAATTTTGAGGTCTGCAACATAGACTTGCGCAAACGCTTCGTCTCGGTTCATAGGTAATGGTAGTTGCCGACGCGGGACAAGTAGAGCATACAGCAGATTATCACCGTGCTTCTGACTTAGGATCAGTGAACGCCCGAAGCCATTCATCTACACCAGGTGAGTGTTCTGATTTGTTGACGCCATAATCTTGCGAGTAACGAGGTCGGGCACACAAGCCTGAACGCAGCCGCTAACGGCAGTCCAGATCGATTTATCCAACAGCCCTGGTTGAGCAACCGTTGAAGCCGCAAGCGAGCGGCGTATGATTACAGACTCAAACCAGTCGCTTCTTCCACGTGAAGTGCCCTTTGGGGTTCCGTGCCAAGGTCCGCATGGCCTCCACATCTTCTGCGTCCTCGCCATACTCGATGATGCCTGCCTCGACGGCCAAGTCCGCAAACTTTTTCGCATTCTTCGCATCGCCGAAGAGGTTGTAGTTTAACGCTGCCAGAACGTAAGCGCCGTGCACTTTGGCATCCAGTCTCTCCAGTCGGTATAATTCAAGAAGGCGCTCGACCATCTTGACAGAAGCCTTGCTGCTGGTGAAGTCGCCCAGCTCAGCCTCCAGCTCATCAATCTCATAGAGCCGCGTGTCCGACGCACGAATCCCCTCTTCAGACATGCTGCAGTGTTGACAGGTGCATTGGAACCCCCAAGATCCCAAGATGTGCTGCTGGCGGATCGCGTGGGTCTCGAAAGGATTCATGTAAGAAAGGGTCAGCTCCTCGCCGGCCGAGATGTCGCGCACGGCGTGGGTGTGATGCGTGAGCTTCTCATCGATCCGGAAGGCCACATTGGGACGGCAGTCGTGGTTGAACCGCGATACATCCGGGAAATTCCCAAGATGATGGCCCTCTTCGCCCTCCCCGCCCACGTCCATCTGGAAGGCGTTCGTCAAGAGAATATCGCTCACACGATGGCCCCCAAACTGGCCCAATTGGCCCAGGAAAGCTCGCCTTCGCGGGGCGGGTAGCCTGTTCAAGGCTGCGTCCAGTATGTAGCGCAAATCATCAGGCTCGAGGTCGTCTGTGAGCTTTCGATGAATCATGAACGTGGGCTGCCAGGTCATGATAGGTTCCCCGCGCTTGATCGTGCGGTTGGCTACCAGACCGATCCCCTTTCCAGGTACCTCTGTCGCATAGAAGGCAGGCGGACCAGACCTTGCCACTGCAGTATCGGGGAAATTCGAGATTCTCTTTGCATTATCTTTGTTCGTAATGACCACAATACCACCGGCAAACTGGCGATTAGAATACACACAGTAGTCGCCTGTGCAATGTCTCGGGCCGTCCCAGCCTGTCTGATTTGAGGTTGCTGAAGGGCCCGAACCAGGATGAATATTTTGTCTCGTCACTGCATCTTGTCTCGATTGAGCTGATATTGATGAGCAGTAGCCATTCGTTAGGGACAGCCTTGAGTCCAACGGACAGAAGCCTACTGTCTCTGGTCCCGTGAAGCCACGGGCCAGCCCGATTATGGTCGCAAGGACTAGGCCTGATAGCATGATGAATCAAAGAGGAAAGAAATAGAGAAATTGCTGAAGAATTGCTTCAGGTGGATTATTTCCATCTCTTGTTTTGCTCAAGTTCGTCTATGGCAATGACATATTTCGAGATCGAGGTTGAACAGGAATGATCTACGGCCAAGACGTTTCAACCTCGCCTTGGAGTCCCTGCAGAGTAGTGCAAAGGCCGTGCCACAAGGGCAGTTCCAAAAGAGGCCAATTCATTGTCTTGAAATAAAATGTTACCGCTAATTTTGTATATGGTGTTGACTTATTTGTGTGATCACTTGTGTTTCCCTCTGCGGGTGTCACGCTTCGCCTCAGACCTGGCATTTGGATGCAGCCCGCGGTAGTTGTGCTGCCAACGCGAACGATTCATGGCTGCAGACATCTCAGTTAAGATCCTCATTGTATAGCAAGAGTGGACGAATGGCGAGGTTGTAGAATATAGGCACGGTATACCTGCTACATATACGCAAGCTTGAAATCAGTTCTTTGAGATGATGAGTTGCTTGACTAAAATGAGAGGTCGTCTTCAAGGTTAGGGTGGCGGGTGGATGCGACAAAAGTGCGCTAATGCGAGGCGATCCGCAGAGCCGCAGCGTGGATTAGCCGGTCCTATCTTAATACCACTCCCTCGGATACCAAAATAATCTCCTCTTGTCTTGTGATTGAAGGCGATGTTCGACACAGGGCAGACAGCTTTGTAAGATGTGACTCCCTACTCGATGGTCATATACCTGTTGTTCGTTTGGCTGAATATGAGTGGTGTGTGTGTGATTGGAGAAGCGGATCCACGAGGGAACCTTTACTAGTGACGCTTCGTCCTCCGTCAATCTCAAACCTGCTCTTCTTTTAATAAAGACATCGTGAACTTGAAAAAAGGCTTTGGTTCTATTCGTAAACTGTATTATAATTGAGTTGTTTTCGTGGGCTGGACAGTCGGTGGTGGGTAAGCCGTCGGGCCGTATGCATGTCGCACCACCAATGTTGACTCGGGAAGCCCCACTCTTACGATATAGGTTTCTTTTTTCGAATGGCATTTAACAATTGGGGACATGGTCTAGTGGTATGACGGATCCTTAGCATGGATCAGGTCCCGAGTTCAATTCTTGGTGTCTCCAAATTCTTTTGTTTTTTTGAACGATTTTCCCAGAAGATTTTGTATCTTCTATTCCCCTTGAGTTGTGTAGTGTTGGATGTCGGTGTGGCCTAGGAGGCACGGACCAGCGACGGTATTTGTGTGCTTGGCTGACAAAGCAGGAAAGAGTCCAAGCATAGTTTGAGTAATATAAAACCAGATCCAGTGGATTAGAACCTGGGCCGATCAATTCACGCCGCCCAGCTGTCAATTTGTCGCTCTTCCAGATGAAGTTAGCAAGTCACTGTATCAAACCTGAGACCGTTGATTGGCCGCTCTCTTTCCACTTGTATTCCATATGGTAATAACCTCACGACCTCCCCTTAGCAATAATTGCTATCTATGGATCGAGTCCCCGAATTCGAATCTTAGTCGTGCAAAATGCCTTTTAAGCCGCACGAACTACAACGTGAACCTAATCGTGACTTTCGTGCTGAGGCCAGGAAGCCAGTGCTCCGGAAAATAATCAGGAGGATGATAACGCCAGCCAGCGACTAATTGACTGCCTGGTGCCCAAGGGCTACTTCATATTTCTTCGCCGTGCCGCGTGGACGAATCGCAAAGCAGAGCTGATTATCGCAGCTGGCATGTTTATGGCATCGTCAAATTCTCCTCAGGGACTGCAACTACTGTCTACAGATTGTAACAGCCTATTCAGGAAGGTCATGAAGATGGTCTGAAGCCAAGATTTCGTAGTGATTGAAATACAAGACGAAATGAAAGGTAGCCTTAGGCTTGACCATCTCACTCACTCGAACAACCTCATATCGATTGTGGCCAGCTGCGGCCAGCTGCAGTCAACGTCAAGCCGTGCTTTTAACAGTCATGCTAGGCAACAGGCAGGACATGATCAAAAGCTTGTACAAGCCATTTACCGGGTGTGTTCCTGATCAACGTCTTTCGGTAGTGTGTCGCATCGTGTATCGGGTGAAAATTGTGCCAGAAGCTCACATTTGCGCAACTTGGAAATGACAGCCTCGCGTCCATCTTCTAACCCTGCTTCCACAAAGTTGGGGTCCTGGTCTATGCAAGCGACAACCAGCCAGATCAAGTCGACCTATTGGCCACGCGAGAGCTGACGGTATAAGATACAAATTTCCAAATAATTAAGGCGTATGGCCGGAATGTACCGTTCAATCTCCCTCACCGTAAGCCCCTTCACCGTAAGCCCCTTCACCGTAAGCCCCTTATCTAAGAAGAGTCAAGACTAGAATATCACAGGGCTTCTGCTCTGGATCGGCCGGTTGGTCAAGCCAAGATCTATCCCAGGTACTTATGGGAAATGACGTTGTACATGTGTTCTTGATATTGGTCTTACCACGCCTCCGGCGACGATTGGAACGAGACCTTCCATGTATTCTTTCGATGTAAGGTAACCTTCTCAGCCCGTTGCTGATTCCCTTGGGGTCGGACCTGCTTGACGGACTGTCTTGCTCGCGTTGTCGAGTTTCTTCGGGTGAAGAAATGCCCAATTCTCTGTCGTGGGTACTGAGGACATGAGATGCACCTACCCAATCCTGGGAACCTTATAGGGGCGCTGGGCTTGTGTAACCCTGCCCCGCCTTTGTTGGAGGCGTGACTGGCAACTGAACAGAATGGACTGGGAGCCGAGCTTGTCGATTCACGTGCAGTACATCTGCAATTGGTAATTTCTTTCGACATACAAGCTAACCTCAGTCATGACTAAATGGGCTGTCCTGATCGGAATCGATTACTATTCAGCACACCAAGACCTGACCCTTCGTGGTTGCGTCAACGATGTCAGAGCAACCAGGAAGCTTTTGGTTGAGCGCTACGGCTTTGAACGCCCTCAGATGATCGAACTCACCAGCCCAGCGATCGATGACCCGAGCACTCTCGGGGACTTGGGATTGGAAACCACACCTACGTACGCAAACATCATCAGTGGCGTGCGCGCTATCCATGATCAGTGTAAGAGGGGCGACCTGGTCTACTTCCATTTCTCTGGATATGGCTGTACAATGCCCTCAATTGTTCCCCAGTTCTCGTCTTACCCTAGTTTTCTCGACGTAGCCCTTGTGCCCGTCAACGTCTTGCTCGCCGCGCAACAGAAGTATCTCCATGATATTGAGATTTCCTTTTTCGCCAAGCAATTCATCGATAAAGGCTGCGAAGTTACACTTGTTTTGGACTGCCGCGAAAGGGATAATTCCAAGAGAATCCCCAGTTTTGACAGAGACCGATCACAGCACACTTGTCTCACCACAGAAGAACTCAACTCAGTCTCTCTTGGCAAATGGAGGTCCCACTTCGGCACGCCATTGGAAGACACCTGGATGTGGGATCCGAGCCCTAAGAAGACATATACACTGATCAGTTCGTTCAATTGCAATGGTAAGATCTTTTGCGACTCTACGAAATGTTTTGAGTTGCAGGATTCGGCCACCTCGGAGTGGCATGGATTTCTCACTGCGTGGTTGCAGCAAGCCCTCGACGCAGCAGCAATGCCAACGTTTCGAAATCTGTTCCACTACATTGAAATGGAAGCTCATAAATTTCTCGGATCGAGGGAGCCTCGGACGCAATTTGGATCTCTGGCGATCTCCGGAGACACACGGCGAGAGTACCCCGGGAGTCAGGGAGTGCTGTTGCAGCACCTCCAACCAACATTTCCGGCGGTTTTGATGAGGTCTTCCAGTGGAGATCGACCAATATTGAGGATTACTTCTGGCACTGCGCACGGACTGAGAGCTGGTGATAGCCTACTGGCATTCCAGTGGACTCCTTCAAACACTGGAGGTAATGATTATCACGAGAAGTACATCGGGACGTTCACAGCATCCATTGTCAGCGCATTCTCAAGCATTGCTACACCAGATACTGTTGGGGATATCCCGGGTACCGCTGAACATGTTGATGTGTTCATTATGATCGGTACGTTTTGCATCCAACAGGTATTACCCATCTACTTACGGCTCACGATTCTGTCTAGCCTCAAACTCCCGTAAAGCCCGTATTCTGGACGACTTTTCCACAAACAAGCACGGCGACAGCCTGCCACTGAAGCTAGCACAAGAATCGCGCGTCGATACATTTGAACGCCTGCTCCATCTCCAACACGAGGCTCGAGCTTTGTCGAAACTTGCTGATGTCAACATTGTCGGAGGTTACAGATACGACAACAAAGCCCACGTTGTCCATCCTGATCACTCCAAAGACGGGAACTTCCATCTGCTCTCAGGCGACCACATCGCCTTATATATCTGCAACATCACAGATCAAGAATTGCATTTCAGCGTTCTCCACTTTGATAGTGCTGACAGTCTCGACATCATTCATCCACCAGCAATCGGCTACTCAACTTTGCTCTATCCTCATGATCCTGTGATCAAAAGATATCGTCTTGCCTTTGAAGATGAGGAATATGGGGATGAAGATAAATCGAAGGCTCGACAAATACTGAAGGTGATCATCACAGATCAGCCAACGTCTTTCGAAGGTCTCCAAATGAACAACCTGAGGGTTCTATCCCGGTCAGAAGAGAAGGAACAGAAGGCACGTCGTGTCGAGTATGCATTGTCGATGTATGACAAACGTGATAATGTTCCTGAATCGGAGGCATGGATGCCGCCGCGTGCCTCACACTCGAGATCAGAGACTCAGATTGCATCGGATGGGGAATGGCGTTGCCACGACCTGGTCTTGATGGTCCACAGGAACGCCGACTCTCTAACAGCTGCATTGGAAGATTTGTAGCGCACCAAGGGACTGAAATGGTGTGTTTCGTTTCATTCATCATCGTTGCAACACATCCGTCACATCCGCGGCCCCAACGTCCCTAGAGAATTTCAAATGTTCCCTCTAGCATACTTGTGAAGAAGAGCTTAGTCGCTGCCACAAGAACTCCCAGCCGTATGCATTGTTGTGGGAAAATTGGAGCTTTGGATGGACGTTCAGGTGTGCTGGGGATAGCCAGAAGCATATAGGCCATTGCCCACCCCCTGTGTTCCAACCCACTCACCGTTCCAAGCGACACTACCGCAAGACTTGCTTTTTGGCTAATATTTTCGAGCCGTAAACACAGAGTGGCAGGCTCTCTATAGTTCAGACTGTCCTTGACGTATGAACTGACAGGAGCAAAGTGATTGAATCCACACCTATCCGAAGCCAGTACAGCGCTTTCCGAAAGAAGACACCCTTTCAGTTCCGCCCTCCCGTTGTCTAACAGATACTCTACCATGTCTGCTACCAGATGGTTTGAGGTATTTACAGCACTGAACGCAGGTACAGCTGGCGCCTTTCGCTGTCGCAGTAGCGTTAGTAAGCGGGCATCTTCGTCCAAAAGCCACCGTCGCACATCAGGCTGATAGACATTGACTCGGTGAAACGCCTGGATCTCGACCGGGAGCTCATTGTGTAGTTTGACGAGAAAATCGTTCATGACGAGGTCTGGATCGATGCCCTTGTAGTCCACTTTCATTGTCACCCCGATAGCTCCCATGATACCGTACACGCGATCTAGTGGATCCCATGCCTTGCGCTTTTTCGACGCGAGAAGCAGCTCTCCAGCATTCATCGATCCGAGATTATGTAAGGACACAATGTTCACTTCATCTATCGCCCGAGTAATAAGCGAAATGTCGTCTTCGGTGAGGCCGCATAGTTCTGGATCATCGAGAACGCTCTGACCGTAGTTGTAGCCCATCACGTCCATGAGTTCGTCGCGGATGGCCCTTATTGTGTTACTTAGGTGCTTCACCGTGACTGGGTTTCCGGAGTCGCTGTGTAGAATGGGGTCGCCGCTTTTGGTGTAGAAGATGGCGTCTGGCCGAAGTGCTGCCTCTTGCAGTGTCCACAAAGAGCTGGCCCACGGTACCCGCTCAGAAAATTCAGCGATGATTCTTAAACGTCTTTGGGTTTCCTTGTGACTAGCCGCTGGCCATCCCAGGTATTTGTACGTTACGATATCGGGGAAATCCAATATGGATGCCGAAACCATATAAACGACTTCGGGTTGCCAAG